GTAGCATCATAGGGACTTGAGGAGCCATGTCAATGTTTGAGTATAGGAGTGACAGGATCTAAAGTACATTTTAGTAGCTCACTGATTGTGTTTTTGAGAATAGACTATAAGAAGTCACAGGTAGAATCAGGGGACTTCTTAGGTCACTGGTGTAGCATTCTAGGTAAGAGACAGTAATGAGGACTCAATCTAGGATTGTAGCCGACGAGTTAGCGAGAAGTGGTTTGGTTCTGATATAGCTGAAGATAGAGCCAAGAGAACCTTCTGCTGGGTTGAAATTGAAGTATGAGAGAGGGGAGTGAAACTTATACAAAATGATAGTGAACATAAACTGTAATTGGAAACTAATTTTTTTAAAGTATGAGAGAAGGAATTTGTGGAAAACTCCAGGTTTTCAGCCTGAGCAACCAATTGGTAGGATGGAGTTGCTGTCAGCTGTCCAGGGGAAGGCTGCGGGTGAAGCATCTTTTGCTAGTGAAGACCAGAAGCTCAGCTTGGGGTGTATGAATCTGAGCTGTCTGGTGGAACTACGTGGAGATGTCAAGTCAGCAAGAATTCTAGAGATGAGTATGAGCTTGATATGCGAATCTGAGGATCAGCAGTCTATAGATGATATTTCGAGTCAGAGGACTGAATGAGATCACCAAGAAAGTGAACACAGATAGAAAAAAATGAGAAAAATGAGCCTTCCAACACTCTGTCATTAAGAAATCTGGAAAAAGTGGAGGGACCAATAAAGGGACAACAATAAAGAGTGACCAGTGAGGTCTGACATGAGGACATCCAGGAGAAGTGTACATCAGTGAGCACAGAGACATTAGCTGTGTCAGATGTTGGTGGTAAGTAAAATGAGGACTGAGAATTGACAACCTGAAAATAAAATTATCCACTAGTTGGTCAGTTAATGAGAGAAGCCAGTTTAAGAAGGGGATCATGGGAAATGCACATTTTATTTTAATTTAAAGCATATAAAGTGATATTCCACTAATTTTTGGGTAGAAGTCTTCATTTTAGTGTATTTCTACGGTTGAAGTTCCACATACTATTCTTGTTTGAACAGACCACACCTTTCATGCTTCACGTATGATTTCTAGTGTTTGAGGACTTAAGCATACTTGTTAGCGGACAGAGGATTTGGGAATAATCACATGTGACTAAGCATATAATTCAGTTTGTAAGGATGGAAGTGCAGGGAGTGCTGCCCACCTAGGTGGGACCTCAATCAGTTGGTGTCAGAGAGAGATTAGAAAGATCATTTTAGAAGCACTGTCTGCCATTTATCAAATTCTTACTAGTACTTACCATATAATTGTATGTTAAATTCATTTAAAATGTACACACCTTGATTGTACTTTCCTTCCATTTTATAGAAGAAATTGGGGTATAGAGAGATCAAGGTAAGCTCTCCCAGCTAATAGAAGGCTGACCTTGAGGCTGAGAACAAGGTTGTATGGCTGAAGCCACTATTCTAAGCACACTGACCTATAGAACTATGTGTATGTTACATGCCATTGGGTCAGCTACTCCTGGCAACCCTATGAATAGTGGTACCCTCAATGTCCTGTCCTCAACAGCCCTGCTATGCCCCTGTAGACTCACGCTGTAGTTTCTTTTATATAAATGTTGCTTATGTTTCTATAACCTGCCTCAATGAAGGTGAAGAGAATGAACAATACAGAGAATTCAGGGTCCAGAGAGGGCCCTAATTTTCTCAGATTTTTTTTAAAGAACTTGAGAATCTTGCTGAAGGGAAAGAGTCAATGAAGTAGAAAAGGCCAAAGATACAAGGAAAGATAATCAGTTCAAGCAACCTGGTTCCAAAGAAAGCGTGAAGATATAGATGAAAGACCAAAGTGTACTCCAGTATTAAGAACATTGAATTAATGTTATTTAATGAAGTATTGAAGCTGCCCTTCTGTTTGGTTATAAAATGTTCACGTTTGCTTATTTCATAGAATCATTTTGCTGTTTTTCTATCAGAATTTTTTAAATTTCTAATTCCCTTATTCTTCTAACAGATGCTCTTAAAATACCCTTAAGGATTTCAGTGGGTGAGATTCAACCAGGCAACTATGGTTCCGATGACTTTGAATGTGAAAATACAATAGGTGCTCTAAGTATCCGCAAACAGACATCCTGGGATGATTTTTCAAAAGCAGTGAGTCAAGCTCTGACAAGTCATTTCAAAGCCATCTCTTCTGATGAATGGTGGAGTCTGGAAGATGTGACGGACAATAACACCACTAGCTCCAGCATCGGCCTCAGTGCAAGCAGTGTGCAATCCATCATGCTAGGTATCAACAATCCTGCAATGAAGGGAAAGTTAGATTTTCAGGTTCATTTATGTTTATGGGCTTCATAACCTGAGACTTAGTTTACTGATTAAACACATTAAAAACTCACTTGTGGCAGCTGCTGGTGCTGACACTTGAGTATTCACAATGCAGCCATTACATAACATTAGTATAAAAATGCTTTTATGCCTCAGATGATACTCAGAGAGTAAAGAACATGAAAGCCCTCGGTGCGGTATTGTGATTGCACTTGCTCTTCTAGATAAATGCATGAAACTAACCACATTACAGCTGCTTGCTAATGCACAGGTTCTGAACACCGCTCCAAATTTGTACTTGGGCTATTCCAGGATATCTGTAATCCATTAACACCTTACCTCCAAGGACAGGAGTCTTAATGAAGTCTAGAATTGGAAAAAGCATTTTAATGAAGATATATTCAAAGCTCCCACATGGGATGAATCAGAATGATAACTGGTTATTCCCGTTCAATAGGCTCCATGAAATAGCCTCTGAGGACCTTCTGAAAATAACATTTGCTTTCTCGTGAGCATAATAAGGGCTCTGTAAAGGCTAGTTATCCCTGGTTAGTTTCTTTTCTCTTAAACCAGGAGAACAGACATCTGCAGGAACCTGCTGCCACTATGCCAAAACTGTGCTGGGCGCTTTATAGCAGCACCTCAGTGGATCCCTGCAGCAGGCTCATTGTACAGATAGCTAGACAAGTTACACGATGACCTTCCTGAAGGCACAGCTAACGAGTGAATGAGACACGACTCAAACCCCAGTCGACCTGGTAGGAAAGCCTGTACACTTTCAACAGCACCATGTTGCAAAAGCATGGTCCAGTTTGAGGGAAGGGTGCTTTTCACCATGCTATTAATGTGTAGGCTTGTTATAGTAAAAAGTGTCTTTGTCAGTTCACTCACAAATGCTAATTCACTTTCAAAACATATATTACTGCTAGATTTTAAAGTAAATTATTCACAGCCATGCCAGCATGGCTCAGTGGTTGAGCGTCAGCCTATGAACCAGGAGGTCACGTTCGATTCCCAGTCAGGGCACAGCCAGGGCTCGATCCCCAGTGTGGGCGTGCAGGAGGCAGCCAATCAGTGAGTCTCTCTCATCACTGATGTTTCTATCTCTGTACCTCTCCCTCTCTGAAGTCAATAAAAATATATAAAGAATAAATAAAGCAAATTATTCACAACTTCATTTTATGGCTCTTTGGCATTTTATGGCTCTTTGGCAATAATTTTTATTAAAATCACCATAATTATCACAAAATACATATAGTTAAATAATTGCATTGAGAAAAGAAATCAGAAAGGATTCTCTGGGTCACATTTTGCCCATTAAACGGAGTGTTATTCAAGGGGTAGGTTAGCCTTAGGGGTCTAATAAATGAAGTCAGCACAGCCATGTTTTGAAGGTAATGAGCCCCTATATCAGCCTTCATCCAGTTAATCTGGAAACTGACAAAGGCCACTGGGTATTCACAACCAGTGGATAGATTTACCTCTGAGCCATGGTTTCTGTTCATACTCATCAATGAGGGTGAGGTACTCCAGTAGAATTCCAGGTCTAAAACCATTGATTTTTGTGGGTGCTGGGCTTCATTTAGCACCTGGCTGTAACCACTTATAATTAGTAACTACACTATTATTGTTATTAATATATGCATATAAGGGATTTTACTGTGTTGATAACCCAAGCTAGATTAAAAGGACCCAGGCTAACAGATAACAGGAAGTTACAGGTGGGGTAGGCACCTGTATGTTAGGACATGCTGAGAATGGGTATCTAGGAATTGATCTGTGGAAGGGAAGAGAGGAAAAAAAGTTCTCAAGAGGGCCCAGACTGTGGGAAGGCTTGTCTTATCCTGAGCACCTGAGGTTATGTGTGTGTGCTTTCTGGAATCTAAAGATTTGCTGGAGAGGGAGGCAGGGACCGGGTTCAGAGTGCGTGGCCTTTATGAAGCAGGCACTGGAAGAACTACAAAAGTCCCTTCTTAGGACAGCTTTGGAGAAGCCTGTAGTTTGAAGGTCTTCCTCTTGACCTTCAACAAAAGTTCACTCCCTGTGACCATTCACAAATTCTGTACATGCCTTTGGATTCCTTAGAGTTCTCACAGAGGAGATCATTCATCAACCCTTATAAGAAAAATTCCTTTTCATCTTCTGACATTTTCATTTTTTTGAACTAGGAGATGTGCCATGGTCAGTGGGTCAGAGCCACACCCTGCCCCTGTGGGACTTCATGAAAAAGAATAAAGCAGAGCAAGTCACTGTGCTTTTGTCAGGTAAAGATATTCTAAACTGAAATAACGTTGACTGAGCGTTTGTTTTATGATTGTTTCGAAGTACCAGTTCTTAAACCTGCATGTTTTTGTCCTGCATTCTCTAGCCATGCGTATATGACTCCCACTGCTAACTAATCAGTGTTCTTTGGAACAATGAGAGGAAAAATCAAAAGCCAAGTTGTTGACACCGGTGGTGATGTCTTGATTGTTGATTCCTATGATTTTGATTGCATCTCATTAGGAATAAACCAGAGGCCAAACTGGTGTGCTGATAAGAGAGTGACAGAAAGTTAAAAGAAGTTTGTTACTGTCAAGTACAGTGTATGATTAATATGATCATTATAATGGTACAAATTAATGTGTAGTGAGTACCTACTATGTGTTAAGCCCTGTTGTGTATGGCACATTAAAAGTATAAATTCACTAAACCCTTATAACAACCCAAGGGGATACATATTTCTGTTTATCCTCATTTTTATATACAAGGAAATTGAAGGGTATAGATATCATCATGTACTTACTAGACTTGGGAATGGAGTCTTTACAATTTCAAGTAATAAAGTTTGATTTTGTTGTTTTAACTATACTTATTGAGGTTTTAAAAAAAGTGTGAGACCATCCTAGAAAATCCCTTTGGGCTCAAGCAGTGTATTGAGAGAATAGCAGAACTTACGGGAGGGGGTTCGGAGGGAAGGAGTTAGAGAAGAGACCTAAAGGGAGACCCCAGTCTGGTCAGCATGGCTCAGTGGTTGAGCATCGACCTATGAACCAGGAGGTCATGGTTCGATTCCCGGTCAGAGCACATGCCCGGGTTGCAGGCTTGATCCTACGTGTTGGGCATGCAGGAGGCAGCTGATCAATGATTTTCTCTCATCATTGATGTTTCTATCTCTCTCTCTGAAATCAATAAAAATATATTTTAAAAAATGAAAAATAAGGGAGACCCCAGACCTGTGCATTAATGCCGGGCAAGGCTAGAACTTTCCAAGGATTGGAACTAAGCTCTGCTAACATTTGCTTATAAACAGTAAAATATTGAATCCAGCAACCAGAGCCAATGTTCCTCTGTATTTTTCCTTCTTGCAGGTCCTCAGGAAGGCTGCCTCAGTAGTGTGACGTACACATCTATGATCCCTCTTCAGGTGCTGCAGAACTACCTAAGGCTGGTAGGTGGATGTGTTATAGGCACCTCTCACCGACACCCGAGAGCTGTTCCCGTTCAGGACAGCCCCCTGACCCGTGAGAGAGGGCCATCCCCAACCTTGATCCTTGTCTTCTCATATAAATGAATTTATATGAGAGACCTTGACTGCATTGTGAAAAGCCAATTTATTAAAGCATGCACCTTTATTGAAAAAGCAAAGCAAGCAAACCTATACATCTGGCTTATGAAGCACAGAAGGGCTCTCAGCTAATCTGAAGAGCAAGTTGGGTGGTGGTCTGAGGTGTTATATACCCTCCTGTCTACAGGTCTCAAAATTCCTCCGCTGACTATTTTGGTACAGATTCATTCTCAAGGTCCTACCCCCCCCTTTTTTTTTTACTTTGTTGTGGCCTCCTCAGAATTCATGAAAAGCACCTGGCAACTTTATCTTGCCAAGCCTTGAGACTGCTGGCTCCTCGGCCTAGGGAGTAAAACTGCCCTTTTTTCCTTTCCCCTTTCCCCCTCCCTCTCTGCATTCTCTCATTAGGGAGTTTTTCTTTAACCATTTGCTCTGTGTCCTTGCTGGGGAAGATGTTAGTTACAAGCTGGCTGCAGATTGCCCAGACTATTAGGCCTTGTTTTACCTTTCCTGCCTCGTTTCCCCATCTGTGAGTGTTAAAATCAGAGCAAGAGGAAATGGTCTGTCCCTCACTAGTACTTGACATCAAATAACGAATCAATATGGAAGAGAATGGCTGTAAATATCAAGATGCCTTGCTATAAACTTTTATAATTGAAAAATGAGTAAATGTCTAAGCATTAATTAGTGTATTGATGTAGCCACTTTAACAGAAATCAAAAAATTACAGCTTACACAGTGTGAGAAGTTTATTTTTTCAAATACAGAAGGCCTAGCAGGTGACAGATCCGGGGAGGGCGAAGGTGCCGGGAGACCTTCTCTCAGTGCTACTCTATCCCCTGAGCGTCACCACTGCATAACCAGGCTCATGCACGAGGGAGAAGAGCCTGGAGGGCAAGCCTCTGCCTTTCAGGGGGGCGCACACATCATTCCTGTCCACACCCACGGACCAGAACTTAGACATGTCCAGGTGGGACTGGCACATGTGGTTTTTGACTGCGCAACCCTGTTAATAGTAGGCAGCTCTGGTACTAAAAGGCAGAAGTAGGGAGTATGGTTATCAAGAGGAAGTAGCAAATTCTCAATACAAAGTGGATAAATGTAATGCTTTGTATTTGCTCAGTACAGTGGAACCTTGGTTCTCGAACTTAATTCATTCTGGAAGGCTGTTTGAGACACGGTTTATTCAAAAACCAAATCATTTTTTCCCCGTTAGAAATGAAGTAAATTGAATTAATCCGTTCCAGATCCCCAAATCATTCCCTGCTTTAACCTTTCTTATATACAGAACATGTCTAATGTAGCATTTAATCTATAAACAAACTTCTTTTCTTAAATTTATTGAACGACTCCCTACTGGCCTTAAATCACTTTCTGCATTCGTTCCAAGGGTGCAGCAGCTTCACTTGTTTACATGTCATTGCCTCTGAAATACTGCCACCAGCTAACTGCTTTTTGTTTATACAAATCAACAATTTTTCTATCTCTTCCATTGCCTGTGATCTTTGTTTGGTAAGCACTTTCATACCCTTAGCAATATCAGCACCCTTGATGGCCTTTTTATTTTTCAAAATTGTGCTAATCATCCATTTCACCAGCAACGAAAGAAAAAAAAATATTCATAGCACAATTTTCTGAGATGTTAACAACATAAGATTTAGCAGTAACCTGACACACATTCTCTCCTTTATTTGTGACCTGAGAGAAGCTTTTTGATAACATCGACATGAAAGGGTTGTCAGGTCAAGAACTGAAGTTGTGTTCCAAATGGAGACATGTTTTCCGTGAACAACTTGGTTGAGAACTGAATTGTTCGAGATGGGAGACATTTGAGAATCAAGGTTTGACTCATTAGATGCCAGGCAATATTTGTTCCGGAAAACATCCCTCTGAGGTAGATAATAATAGCACCCATTTTATAGACAAGAAAACTGAAGCAGAGTGAGGTAACAAGGCCACATAGCTAGTGAGTGATGAAGCCAGGATTATGCGTTCCCTGATATAGGTGGTGTCTGTGTGTGAGAGATCTATCTGAAACTAAGATATTGATGGTGTAAAACATTAACTAAACAATCATTTTGTTTACTGCCTTAATTTGGAAGGCTTTTTTTAAAAAAATGAATGGGTTTGACTATGACCCTTTACAAAAATTGTGTTATTGACCATGAATTGGTATATTTGCTCCTGATGAAAAGAAATTGTGTGTGTGATCAGAAAATTTTTATTATTTAATATAATTGAAGTTGTAAAAAGTTAGCCTTTTTTCCTGTTCTCATATGTTAGCACTCAATTTCCGAGGATTTAATATAGAATTTTAAAAAGCATTAATAATCTCTACTGTAGTAAATAGTATATTTTGTAGTTCACTCTTACTCTTTCAATAAACATAGGATTTTAAATAAAATGAAAATATACCAGTTTTCATAATCTTAAAATCTAGGTGAAACAAACATTTTTGTGTCCAATAATTTGTAAAATATAACCAGGTCACTGGGTCAATGTACTAGCATACAACTTTAACAATTTCTAGCAGCAAAACACCTGGAGTAGCGATTAATAAATGTATTCATTGGATTGTAGAATAATCTCTTTGTACGAAATTATTTCTATTTTTTTAAAAAAAATCTCTATAGTTCAAGTGCAAGCAAACATGAAAGATATCAAAGATTTTATTTATCTCCATGTTTCCTATTGGCATCAGGTGCAACTGGAACCTTACTAATTGCAACAAAAATGGATTCAAAGGCAGCCTCCAAAGAATCAGCAGCTGTGGCTCCTTAATTAGTGTTGTGTGAGTCAAAGATTGTTGCTGCTTTGGAAATCATAATGGATTCCAGTGTTTTTCTACCTTTTTTTTACCAAGAATTTTGGCATAATTAGCAGGTATAAATCCTGCTGTTTGATCATCAGGACTAGCCAGACATCCTGAGGAAAACAAGCATTGAAAGCCATTTATTGATCTAGTTGGGATTACAGTGGGGCCTTGACTTACGAGTGTCCGACTAACGAGTTTTTTGAGATACCAGCTGTCTCTCCGCCGATTTTTTGCATTGAGTTGATAGAGTAATTTGAGTTAATGAGCTCCTTAACGAGCTCCTTAACGAGCTCAGTCTCGGAACGAATTAAACTCCTAAGTCAAGGCCCCACTGTAACTGTAAAAGCAGCTACAGTCGAATGGAAACATTCAAAAGCCTTACAATTTAGGAAAGATGGTGTCTTCTCAATCTGATATGTTCACTTTTTTCTTTGCTAGTTGTTGTTCTTTCTCTAATGCATCAAAGTAAGCCTGTGGGTTTTATACAGATGGGAAGGAGATCTGTCTCATTCCTTTGTATAAATGAATGGTGGAGTTGTGTCACCAACTAGTTTTCAGGAATGTGAGCCTCATGCTCTCAGTGGAGTCAGTTCCTACAACCACTTCCTTCTCCCTCCCCCTCCTCAGCATCTCTGTACCAGACAAGATTATGACTCAGAGCTTCTCATTCACCTGTTTAGATGATTAAATGAATGAAAAGCAATGCAACTGAATTACAACTGCATATTAGCCTTGTCTGAGTAGATCTGTCAAATGAAATATTTGTTAGTCACATTCCAATTGCAATTAAGCATGTACCTCCTGATGCATAAGACATAATTTGACTATGAGGGACCAACAAACCAGAGACTACTAGATGAACACTGTTGTTACCTCTGTTCTCAATTGAATGAGTGTACAGAAAGGGCTTTTTTAATCTAACAATTCTTGGATGAAGATAAAAAATAAACTCATTTTAGCAATCACTTCAAAATTTAAAGTGAGTGAGGCAATAATATCTTATATAATAAAAGTCTAATATGCAAATCGACCAAACGGCAGAACAACTGGTCACTATGACGTGCACTGACCGCCAGGGGGCAGACACTCAACGCAGGAGCTGCCCCCTGGTGGTTAGTGCACTTCAGGGAGCACCGCTCAGCCAGAAGCCCGAGCTGGGTTCATGGCTGGTGAGCGCAGCGGCAGTGGCAGGAGCCTCTCCTGCCTCCGCAGCAGTGCTAAGGATGTTCGACTGACGGCTTAGGCCTGCTCCCCGCCTGGACTGCGAGAGGGCGCAGGCCGGGTTGAGGGACCCTCCACCCCGAGTGCATGAATTTCATGCACCGGGCCTCTAGTATATTATAATAGTTGTCAGTGTTTCTTCTATCATAAAAGAGTGTAAACCCCTTAAGGAGATAGACCATATGTTATGCATATTTGTATCTTGTTTAGTTATTTAATTCAGTTGTTTGACAGCTATTTATTGAGAGCCTCCTAAATGCAGGCAGTTTTAGGAATGTAGGATATAGCTATGTGTAAATAAGATGCATTCCCTAAATGCATGGAGCTTACATTCTAGTGGGGAAGACGTATCAAAAAACAAATGCATAAATACCTATAATGTGAGGCCAGCACTAATTACAACTCTAGAGGGAAATAAAGAAGGAAAGGAGATAAAGCGCAAATGGAAGGAATGGCAGAAAGTGCTTTGGATGGAGTTGGTAGGAAAGACCTTTATGCGGTGACATATAAACAGAAGACCACGTGAAGTGAAGGCCTGTGGAGGGTGTTTAAAGCAGAGGGAATAGCAGGTACAAAAATACCTAACCTGGCAGTGAGGTCTGAGAGAGAACCAGAAGCCAGGTCATGCACCATACTTTTGTCCATATCCATGAGTTCTCTCTCTCTCCCTCTCTTTTTTTTTTTTCTCAATGCCCCTCCCCAACACCCTCTACCAGAGCTGTTTGCCTGTTCTTTATCCATGAGTCTGCCTCTGTTTTGCTTGGTAGTTCACTTTGTTCATGGCAAGGACTTTGAATTTTAGCCCAGGTGTGATAGGAAGCCACTGGTAGGATTTGAGCCAGAGAGT